TTCCCTTTAACAATCATGGGAGAAAGAAGGGCTGCTTATGCACAGGTAGACAGCTCAGGCGTCAGGAGTGCATGGAGGCATGGACACAGGGAAGAGATAACTATTGGGAGGAAGTGGGAGGGGATCTGTTGCACTGTTGTACATTGTGGTCAATGTCATGAGACGAAGTGTATGTGAACTGCTGTATGGAAAGTGAATTTGCTGTGTAAATTTTCACCCAAATCACACACAAAAAGTACCTTATTTCAAGGAGCTCTGGTAGCGTAGTGCCTAAGGCATTTGACTGCTAACCAGAAGGCTCTTGGTTCAAACCCACCAGCCAGTCCTCAGAAAGAAGATTGGGTGATCTACTTCCGCAGTGATACTGCCTTGGAAACCCAAGGAGGGGTCGCTATGAGTCGGATCCCACACGATGGCAGTGAGGTTTTTTTTTGGGGGGGTTATCTCGAGTTTCTTAAGCCCTAAACATCAGAGGAACTATAACATTCCTTTAGAATGCTCTTTACAGTTGAAAGGAATTTCTCAAAAAAATTCTTTTTTAAAGTAATTTTTTCATTTTCTATAAGGAGGGGTCACTATGAGTCTGGTCCCACTCAACAGCACATAACAACAATAACGTTAAAGTGTACATTTGTGGAGGATTCTACTTTGGACAAGTTTTTAGAAAAGACCAATCACTAGCAAGAGGACATCATGATTGGTAAAATAGAGGTCAGCGAAAACAACAGAAAGCTTTAATGAGATAGATTGGCACAGTAGGTACAACAGTGGACTCAAGCATACCAACAATCATGAAGACGGCATAGGGCCAGGCAACATTTTGTTCTCTTTTACATAAGATTACCATGAGTAAGACCTACTAGATGTCAGCTAACAACAAACTTTATGATAATATGGTTTATGAAATATGATTCATTTGATAGTTTTAGATTCTTTTATAAGGTGTCCTCATTAGAAGCTTCAAACTTTGTCTTTCCAAACTTTGTCTTTTACCAACAACAGCATGCTCATCTAATCTTTGTTACCTTCAGCACTGGGAATTGTTAGAGCTATAGAAGTCCTAGATGGAGATGATAACTTACTTGAGGCCACTCATTTTGAGATAACTGACTATCAAACTTTTTCATGGTATATAATATTTTCTTGAATTACTAAATTAAGAAATATATTTAGTTCTTTCTGGACATGGAATTTTGTGTTTTAGATGACACCATGTAATTTAAAAGAAAAATCTGACTACAGAATTTTGCAATCTAATATCTTTAAATATTAAGAAGCAGATTTATTTTGTAATTTGCTTATTTTGTAAGAAAATAAAAACAGAAAAATACTAATTTTGGGTTTTTGCTAGACTGTAAGGGCAATGAGGGTGCTAACCACATTTATGTAAATAAATATTTTCTGTGTGAGCAAGTGAAAAAAATAGAATGTGATGTTTTGTACTACTCCTCTGAAACAAGATAAAGCATTACATATTTTATTTAAAGTAAAGGAATAAGTTAGGCTAAACTAGCCTGATGAGTTGGGTATTTATTATGTAAATAATTGCTTCATTATTACAGTAAAATAGTTTTGTTTTAAAATATTTTTTAAATATCTTAATTATTTTAAAATACTATCAAAAGAGAAGTTTCCCTTTCTCTTTCTTTTATCGTGTTGTTACTGGGTGTATAAAATAATTTTGTATTCAGTCATATTGTAAAATACTTACTTTGAACGTGTTTGCTTTGATTCCTCTACTCTTGATTTTGTTGTATTTTGCATTAAATAAAGTTAGCTTGGGAGGAAGAACTGGAAGTTTCAGTAGTTGATTGTCTGCAAGCGAAAGTTCTTCTAATAGAAGAAGTTTTGAAAATGTACTGTCTTCTATATCTTTGATCAAATTTCCCGTAAAATCAAGTCTTCTTAAGGTAGCTTAAGGGGAAAATACACAGAAAGTACAGAAAATATATTAATTAAAAAAAAAAAGCCACAATGTTAAATTTTCATTTGTGTGCAGTAAAGAAAAATATTTAACAGATCACTTAAACATCTTTTATTTTTTAGTGCCTAATAGAGTTTCTGTAACTTTTACCTCAGTAAACTTTGGTTGAATGAATTCTGACCATATACTGTGTACTTGACACTGATGATCTCTTAACTGGAATAATAGAATCTCAGGTCTGGAAATGATCTTCAAACTTAATAGGTTCCCAAGGCCATGGCCCTTAGACATCCTTCAACTTCGGAAGTGAACCCAACCCCTGTGGCTCAGCTTTCAGTCAAACAATAAACAGGCCTATATTGTGAAAAATAATACCAGGAAGTTATGCACTCATTGGAAAAATTAAGTATACAAAATCAAAAGGGCAGCATTTGCCCAGGGATAAATCTAAGAAGGCAAGAAGGGATAGGAAAGAAGGAAGAAGGGAAATGGTAAACATAGGAAATTGGAAGAGTGCTGTTACATTGTGGGGATTGCAATGAATGTGACTAGACAAAATATGTGGAATTGTTGAATATAAAACCTATTTGTTCTGTAAGTGTTCACCCAAATCAATAATAATAATAATAAATTAATAGAATCCTTTCAGCCTTCTAAGTTGAATTCCTCAGGCTATCAAGTGGCTTGAAAGAAAGTCTTGCTACAAATTATGCAAAATAAGCATGATTTTTTATTTAGTACCGTCTTGTCACTATTTTTAGGTTTTTCATGAGCGTGTTGTGCTTTGATTGTTGTTGGTATTTTAATCTTGCTATGCCTTTTTACTTAACTGCAACAAAGACATAACTATTTCCTGATTTGTCAAAGTGATACAGACTGAAAGAGAAGTTCTGTGTGTGTATCATTTTTGTCTGGGATGATTAGAAAATATTTTAGACAGTAATTGTGAACTACCAGTGGCGTAAGTCCAGTTTTGGTTTATCTCAAAGATGTGTAGTGGAACCAGCACACTTTTTTTTTTTGTTTGGTGTGATTTTCTTCAGAAATACTTGGCAGCATGTTGTTGTTGTTAGGTGTCATCAAGTCAGTTCCAACACGTGCAACCTTATGTACAACAGAATGAAACACTGCCTGATTCTGCACCATCCTCACAATCGTTGCCATGCTTGAGCATATCGTTGCAGTTAGTGTGTCAATCCTTCTCATTGAGGGTCTTGCCCTTTTTCACTTTTTACCAAGCATGGTATCCTTTTCCAGGAATTGGTCCCACTTGACAATAAGACAAAAGTGCGAGAAAGGATGTCTGGCCATTCTTGCTTATAAGGAGCATCCTAGCTATACTTCCTCTGAGAGATTGATTTGTTCTTCTGTCAGTCCATAGTATATTCAATATTCTTCATGATCAACATACCTCAAATGCATCGATTCTTATTTCAATTTCTTTATCAATTGTCCAGCTCTCACATGCATATTAGACTGCAGAAAATACCATGGCTTGGGTCAGGCACACCTTAATCTTCAAAGTGACGTCTTTGGTTCTTAACACTTTAAAGAGGTCTTTTGCGGCAGATTTGCCCAGTATAATATGTCTGATTTCTTGACTGCTGCATCCATAGGCATTGATTATGCATCTAAGTAAAATGAGATCCTTTTTTCTTTCATTTTAAAAAATTTTTTTATTGTGATTTGGGTGAAAGTTTACAGAGCAAATTCATTTTGCATATAACAGTTAATACACATTTTGTTTCATGACATTGACTGCAATTCTCCACAGGGTAACAACTTTCTTCCCACTTCCTCTGTGTAGTCACCGCTTCCCTGTGTCCTTCTTTCCTATGTATTCTTGCCCTCCAAGCTATCCCCCCAGCAAACACTGCCCTTCTGTTCTCTCACGATCAATCACTCTAAGGAGTGTTTCTACCTAATGTAAATGTTCACCCTATATGCCTGTCTGTTACTTGGCTGGAAGCTACAGGAGTGAGTTCAGTTCCAGACCTGAAGGGTAGCTAGGGGCCATAGTCTTGGGAGTCTCACCAGGCTCTATCACATCAGTAAATTAGTCTTTTGATTTTGATTTTGATTTTGAGTTTGGTTTCACGTCGATCTCCCACTCTATCCAGGATTTCCTGTACGGATCCCTTTCTGAATGGTTGACAATGGTAGCCGGGCACCAGCTGGTTCTTTTGGTCTCATGGTCATGTAGGCTGAGGATCGCATGGTCTACTAGTCTCTCGGACTGATTGTTTCCATGTGTCTTTGGTTTTCTGCATTCTTCTTTGCTCTGTTGCATGTAGATGGCCACTTGCAATCTTTTAAGACCCCTGTCACTACTTACCCAAATAGGATATGGAACAATGTTTCTGTGTAGTGTGTATGCCAGTTGAGCTTGATATTCCCTGTGACCATTGTCCCAAGTTCACAGGTCCAACTATTTGCTCCCTCAGGTAAAATGAAATCTTTAACAACTTCAGTCTGTCCTCTATTTATCATGATGTTGCTTATTGGTCCACTTGTGAGTATTTTTGTTTTCTTTATGTCAAGGTACAATCCATATTGAAGGTTATGGTCTCTGATCTTCATCAGTAAATGCTTCAAAGTCCTCTTCCCTTTCAGCAAGCAAGGTTATGCTATCTCTATATCACAGGTTGTTAATGACCTTTCTTCCAACCCTGATGTTATGTTCTTCATCTTATAATCCAGCTTCTTAGATTATTTGCTCAGCGTACAGTTTGAATAAGTGTGGAGAAAGGATACAACCTTGACACACACCTTTCCTGATTTGAACATGTAGAATCCCCTTCTGTTCTAATGGCTATCTCTTGGTCTATGGCTAGGTTCCTCATGAGCACAATTAAGTCTTCTGGAATTACCATTTTTCACAGTATTATGCATAATTTGTTACAATCTACATAGTTGAATGCCTTTGCATAGTCAATAAAACACAGGTAAATATCTTTCTGGTATTTTCTACTTTCAGCCAAGATCCACCTGGTATCAACAATGACATTCTTCTTTCCATGTTCACTTCTGAGGGTAGCTTGAATTTCTGGCAGCTCTCTACTAATATACTGCTGCAACCATTTTTAAAATTTTCTTCAGCAGAACTTTACCTATGTGTGATATTAATGATATTGTTCAATAATTTCTACATTCTGTTGGATCACTTCTCTTTGGATTAGGCACAGACATTGATTTCTTCTTGTTGATTGACCAGGTAGCAGTCTTTCAAATTCTTGGCATAAATGAGTGAGCGCCTCCAGTGCTGCATCCATTTGTCTAAACATCTTAATGGGTGTTCCACCAATTCCTGGAGCCTTGTTTTTTTCACTAGTTCCTTCACTGCAGCATGGACTTCTTCTGTCATTACCATCAGTTCTTGATCAGCTACTCCCATCTGAAATGGTTGCAAGTTGACCAATTCTTTTTTTAATCCAATGATTCCATGATTCCTTCCATCTTCTTTTGATGCTTCCTGGATTATTCAATATTTCACCCTTAGAACCCTTCGATACTGAACCCAAGGCATGGTTTTTTATCTTCATTTCTTTCAGTTTGAGAAAAGCTGAACATCTTCTTCCCTTTTGATTTTCTAATTCTACGTGTTTGTGTATTTCATTATAATACTTTGTCTTCTCCAGCTGCCCTTTTAAATCTTCTGTTCAGCTCTTTCACTTCATTATTTCTTTTATTTGCTTTAGCTATTCTTTGTCCAATAGCAAGTTTCAGAGTCTCTTCTGACATCCATTTTAGTCTTTTCATCCTTCCTGTCTTTTCAATGATTTTTTTGCTTTCTTCATGTATGACGTGTTTGATGTCATCTCATAACTCATCTGGTCTATCGTAATTGGTGTTCAATGTGTCAAATCTGTTCTTAAAATGGTCTATAAATTCTGGTGGGATATACTCAAGGATATATATTTTGGCTCTTGTTGACTTGTTTTAATTTTTTTTAGCTTGAACTTAAACTTGAATATGAGCAATTGATGGTCTGTTTCATAGTTGACATGTAGCCTTGTTGTGACTGATGATATTGTGCTAGACCACCTCTTTTCACAGGTGTAGTTAATTTGATTCCTCTGTGTTCCATCTAGTGAGGTCTATGTGTATTGTTAGCATTTATGTTATTTTAAAAAGATATTTGCAGTGAATAAGTTGTTGGTCTTGCAGAATTCTATCATGTCATCTCAGGTGTCAAAACCATCAATCATATTTTCCAACTACCAGTGATTGTTCTCTGTTTCCACCTTTCACATTCCTGTCATCAGTGATTATCAATACATCTTGTTTGCATGTTCAGACCACAGAAGCTGGTAAAAATCCTTAATTTCTTCATTTTTGACTTTAGTTATTGGTGTGTGAAATTGAATAGTAATTTTATTAACTAGTCTTTCTTGTAGGCATAGGATATTATCCTATCAGTGACAACGTTTTACCTCTGGATAGATCTCGATAGATCTTTTTGTTGATGAACACGATACCTTCCTTTTCAAGTTTTCATTCCTGGGAGTAGACTATATATGATTGTCTGATTCAAAATGGCCAATCCCAGTCCATTTCACCTCAGTAATGCCCAGGATATTGATCTGTATGTGTTCCATTTCATTTTTAACAACTTCCAATTTTTCTAGATTCATACCTCAGAGATTCCATGTTCTGATTATTAATGGATATTTGCAGCTGTTTGTTCACATTTTCAGTCATACTACAGCAGCAAATGAAGGTCCTGAAAGCATTTCCCCATCCATGTCATTAGGTGGACTCTACTTTGAGGAGACAGCTCTTCCCCAGTCGTATTTTGAGTTTCTTATAACCAGAGGGGTCATATTCCAGAACTATCACAGGCAATGTTTCTCTGGTAGTTAAGCTTGTGTGTCAACCTGGCTGGGTCATGGGTTTGAGTGGCTGGGCAGCTGGATATAGTTATTGCCAATAATGAGATTGTAATTATGTCCATGGTAGAATCTGCTGTGAGCACCTAATCAGTTGAAGAAAAGTTGCCTTCAGGGTGTGGACTGCTTCCAGGATATATAGAAGAGCTTTGGGAAAAGTCTCTATCTTTTTGACACGCCTGGATCTTGTATTTGTCTGAGTCTTCATCTCAGTGGCCTGCTCTGTTGCCTGCCAAGCTTGGGATTGTTCCTGGACTTTAACTAGTGGTCTTCTGTGTTAACTGTTGATCTTGGGATTGTGCCATTCTACTTGTTAACCTGGATTTGTCAGTTTCAGTGGCCAGCAGCTGCATGAGTTATGAAAAGCCTCTAACTCCAGTGGACTTGGATGAAGAGGCAGCGCCAAAGCCCAAAGTTGAGGGACCTTCACCTGGCCCTTAAAGCTGGCACTCCGAATTTGGACTTCTAGCCTCCTAAATTGTAAGAGAATAAATTCCTGTTTGTCAAAGCCATCTACTTGTGGTATTTCAGGGTTAGCAGCACTAGAGAACCAAGGCAGTTTCTTCACTATTTTTAAAGTTTTCAGTGGCCAGTTTTTTTAGAAGTGGACCTAGTCATGTCCTTACTCTTGGTCTGTCTGGAACCTTCACTGAAATCTGTTCACCATGGTGCCCCTACTGTTATTTGAAATATTGGTGGCATAGCTTCCATTATCACTGCAACATGCCAGTAACCATGGTATGACAAACTGTCAGATGAGTGGTGGCCTGTCAACGTAGGAGTATAGAAAACTGAGAACTTGAAAATGCAGAAATGGGAGTTCTAGGGTGGTCAAGGCAATATGATAGTGACAGACTGTTGAATTAAATTTTAATAGGAAGCTGGAAATCCAAGATTGTTAATGTGCTGGGAGAATTTGAGTGATTTAAATAACTGCTGTTCTCAAAACTTGTTGTTATGTGCCGGCGAGTTGACCCGACTCCTGGTGACCCCTCCTTGGGTTTCTGAGGCAGGATCACTACGGAAGTAGATTGCCCAACCTTCCTTCTGAGGAGTGGCTGGTGGATTTGAACCGCCAGCCTTCTGGTTAGCAGTCAAGTGCCTTAGGCACTGTGCTACCAGAGCTCCCGTTCTCAAAACTAGTTCCACATTAGAATCATATGAGGATGCTTTTAATGCTGATGCCTAACCCTTACCCCAGACCTAGACTAGAGTCTAGTCTTAGTATTTTAAAATTCTTCCCAGATATTTTTAATATGTAGATTAAACCATGAGTTAAAGTTAGGAAAAGCAATGTCTGGTTTTATGTGAAAGTAGAAAATAAAACATTTTGATTGAAGAAGCATCCCGATGATATCAGTGCTGCTGACAGACTGAGGCAGTAGGTCTGGAAGGATTAAAATTGAAGTAACATGGTTACCCATAGTAATAGACTTATCATGGCCAGATCCCCTTCTAAAGAAACTGGCCACTAAAGACATTGATAGGGTTGTTAACTGATGTTGCCAGGAAATTCACTAAGAAACTAATTTATTTTTGTGAAGTGAAGTAAAATACTTAAATACTCTACTAATGACAACCCTAGACACAATAGGCCACAAATTCTTGGAAACCCACAGTTTTTACTAACATTAATCAAATAGTAATATCTTATTTTAAATTAACTTACGTATATCTGCAAAATCTTTGGCAGTCAACTTTTTAATTTTGTTGAATCGTGCATAAAGGTAAGCTGATTCCTTTGGCAAGGGTGGTACAACATCGATGTCAACTTCTTCACAATATACAGAACCAAGTAAACAAACACACAGCAAGCATGTGGGCATTTCTAAATTGGGAAACATAATCATGAAAATATAAACAGAAGTTTAAAAATATTTGATCCCTTGTGGTAAAATTATTACTATCATAATGCTAGTACTAATTTACAAAGATATTTTACAAATCATAGTCATGGATCTATCTATAAATTTTTAAAAGCTAAAAAACCAAACTAATTACCATCCAATTGATTTCGACTTATAGCAACCCCCATTGGGTTTCCAAGGCTGTAAATCTTTATGAAAGCAGCCTGCCTCTTCCACGGAGTGACTGGTGGTTTCAAACCACCAGCCTTTTGGTTAGCAGCCAAATGCCTTAACCACCACACCACCAGAGCTCCTGTGATCTAACTGGTACCTGATAATTCAACAGAATTTTATTTTAGATTCTGAAATGTAAAATCTTTTTTTATTCTCTGTTTTAGTATTAATCACTTAATTGTTGAATTGATTGACATTTACGTTTCCTCATTTGAATACCAAAAGATGATTTCATAAAGCAGGAAATGAGGTTGAAACTAGCTTGATATATCTAATTTAATATAGCTAAAAAAATTCAGATTAGAGATGGTAGCTAATTAGTTTAGGAACCACTAGCTAAATACACCACTATTTTAAAAATTGGAGTCATTACAGGCACTTTTCAGATTCCATTAGACCTCAGGTTACTCATTGCGTTTAGTTGCCATACCTCAATTTGTCTCCTTTAACTAGAACCATTCCTTAGTCTTTGTTTTCTATACCCATCACTTATTTGAAAATTAAAAGACATTTATTTTACAGAATGTCTTCCAATTAGGGTTTGTCTGAAAGTTTTTCATGTTTTATGTGAATAATTTGGAAATGATGTACCCTCAGTGCTGGGTATCAATAGTCACAAGATATCTATTTGTCCCATCCTGATAATGTTGTCTTGGGGCAGTCAAATGCCTTAGGCACTACGCCACCAGAGCTCCTTGATAATGTTGTTTTGGCTTAGTTAAAATAGTGTCTGCTAAATTTCTTACTTTGTAAAGTTACTATATTTTATTTTATAATTAATAATTATCTTGAAAATGTAAATATCCAGTTTGTCATCAAATTTTCACCCATTAGTTTGAGCATCTATTGATGATTGATTTTTCCCAAAATCAGTTATTGGTAGGATAGTTCCCAAATAGTTATTATTATTATTATTATTTTAATTTTTACTGTGATTTGGGTGAAAGTTTACAGATCAAATTCATTTTCCATACAGCAGTTCACATATACTTTGTCTCATGATATTGACTGCTATTTCCCACAGTGCAACAGTTCTCTTCCCACTTCCTCCCCATAGTTACCTCTTCCTTGTATCCTTCCCTCCCATGTACTCCTGTCCCCGAAGCTGTCTCCCTGTGCATACACAGCCCTTCTGTTCTCCCATGATTGTCTCTTCAAGGAGTGTATCCACCTAGTGTAAATGTTCAGCTCATATGCTAGTCTTTTGTTTGGCCAGAAGACACAGGAGTGAGTTCAATTTCAGACCTGAAGGGCAGCTAGGGGCCATAGCCTCAGTGGTTCCATCAGGTTCTCTCAGACCAGCAAAGCTAGTTCCTTTTTTTGTTGTTATTGTTAATGATTTAGAGTTTTGTTCCACATTGTTCTCCCCACTCTATCCAGGATCTCCTGCAGAGATCCCCCTCCTGGTGGTTGACACTGGTAGCTGGGCACCATCTAGTTCTTCCAGTCTCATAGTCATATAGGCTGAGGATCGCATCGTCCACCAGTCCCTTGGATTAATTAATTGTTTGCATGAATCTTTGTGTTTTTTTTTTGGTTCTTCTTTGCTCTGGATGAGGAGAGACCCATCATTTCATCTAGATGGCTGCTTGCAAGCTTTTAAGATCCTTACCAGCCCTAGGGAATGGCCTCAGGCCTAAGGCAGTCACTTGCTACACCCAAGGTTGGCGGTTCAAACCTACCAGCCGCTCCCCACCAAGTAGCTGGGACGTCTCTTTAGGAGCTCTGGTGGTGTAGTGCCTACGGCATTTGACTGCTAACCAGAAGGGTGGAGGTTTAAACCCACCAGCCACTCCTTGGAAGGAAGGTTGGGCAGTCTACTTCCATAGTGATACCGCCTCTGAAACCTAAGGACAGGGTCCCTATGAGTTGGATCTGACTCTTCGGCAGAGTTGAGTTGCTACTCCAAAGTAGGATGTGCAACAATGTTTTTGTGTAGTATGTTATGCCAGCTGAGCTTGATGTCCCTTGTGACCATGGTCCCGAGCCCACAGGTCCAACTACTTCCTCTGTGTAGCTGGCTGTGGCCAAGAAGTGACTACAACCTTGTCCCTTGTCAGCTCTACTATATACCTGAAAATTCTTACAGAAGCTACAAATACCAAATAAAAACCAAATACTGATTTTTTAATTCTGTCTTTCCTTGTCCATTTATTAGCTGTCATTCTATTGTGAGATGATATATTTCCTTATTTATTTATTTATATTAGCATAAAGTTATGGATTTGTATTTTATGCCATGGCTTATAATCTGTTACCATCATATTTTGATAATCAAAGAATCACAGATTTGGCTGGTAAGAGTTGTTTCACATTCCTTTCCTTTCCCAGTCATAACTTTATTGTAGTTAAATGACATACAATAAGTTGTACATATATAACTTGTATAATTTTGTTTTGGCATATGTGCACAACCATGAGCCCGTCATCACTATTGAGATAATTAACATATTCATCACTTCAAAAGTCCCTCTTCTGGTTTCATCCCCAAGCAACTACTAACTTGTTTAATATCTTCTACATTAGTCAGCCCCAGGCTTACAGGTGAGGAGAGACAACGCAGGGACGCCAGAGTAGCAGGCCGGAAGAACAGGGAAGGGGAAAAAAGCCTTGAACCCGGACAGAAGAGCAGTCAGCCCCAGGCTTACGGGTGAGGAGTGACAACGCAGGGACACCAGAGTAGCAGGCCGGAAGAGCAGGAGAAAGGGGATAAAAGCCTTGAAC